CCCCACGCAATACAAGTTCTAGAAAAAAATTGAAGAAAAACGGGCACCATTCACCCCCCAACTCGCAGCCAGAACAAGCGGCCACGTGATCTGGAGCCGATTATATGCCGCCAATGTTGATCATAGCCACGCGCTGGGGTTGGCAAAGCACAGCACTCGCGCTGAGTTCCAGACATTGTTATGGCTCGGCTATTGTCGTCGTTGCAGCGATTGGACATGGGCCACTACCCGAATGCATGTCGAGGCATCGATTGTCACGAGCCCAGATCGAATGCGTACACAGTCTTCGCGTCCACTGTGTGAGCAGCATTTGAATATCGTCATCGCAAAACTCGGATGACGCATTCCCGGGGATCGTACTGTTGCCATTGTCCCCACAGCTCCGTCATCAAATTTTGCGATGGAGCAGAAGGCGGCTTTGGAAGGAGAGACTGAAAGAAAAGCTCCGCTTTCATCCTTTGAATTACGCCGCGACGAAGACTCTTCTTTTGTCAGTGGTGTTGCGTTCGAGTATTCTTGGGTCCCACTAGTGCCAGGAAGCTGGTGTAAAGTAAGAAATATTCCTACCCCAAAGTCGTTGCACAACCCCTTTAAAGCACAAGTGTAGCCTTTTATTCTATGTTTGGGTTTATGCAGTTTATAATATTAGAGTCTATGATATAGAGTTTATAATATTCTATGTTTGGGTTTTTGCAGTTTATAATATTAGAGTCGAGTTTGGTAGGCTCATTAAATTTATGGGGCGCTTTTCTATTGGTAGACGTGTTAGCATGTTATATAAAAAATATATATATATATATTTACAGGCTAAACAAACCACTGAGTGTAAACTAAAGAGGGGAGAGGGGATTTGTCTCAATGTACTATGTACCATTTTTAATACCCATTGTTAATTAAACCTCTGACCAGAGCCTTATTTAAGAAGACTGTGTTCCTTTTACGGCCTGTCTATTCTTATCACAAACGGTAATAGGTAACATGCTCGAGTATCAAATAGGAACCCACAATCACCATCATAAATGAACTCATTTAGAGATACAATAATTTTTTTCATTCTCAAGTGATGTGCTAACAGATGTTGGCATCTGCTCCAAAAGCCTCAGTAGCTGCTCCAAACCAATATTTTGCCTGCTACAGAACCTGCTACAAAAGGTCAAATGCCACTTTCATCACTGCTGGTGGAAATTATCTAGGAGGAATTGAGTGATATACAACTAACTGACACAGCTGGAGATTGGTGGGACAGGGTAAAATTGGCACTCCCTCCCGCGTGGCTCCAGCCCAAAGTCTCCACCCTATCCTCCAGTGGGGCCTGTGCCGGCGCGACACTGACTGACTAGGTGTGACCAGAGCGAAATTGGCGACTCCCTCGCCGGAGGGTGATGTTTTTCGTTCTCTTGCCCGATTTCCCAAAGGTCACCCAGGTGATAGGTGGTGAAAATTGGTCTTAGAAGGGTGGGAGGAATCATATGTTTGCTTTTATAGACTTAGGCTAGGTGGTGCAAGCTACCGCCCGTCACAGAGGGTATAGCCATTAAGGGGACACACCCCCTGCTGTAAGGGTCAACTTTTGAACCCTTGGCTTAAAATAATGAAATTTACAGGGTAGGCTGGTGGTCATGCTAGAGGGTGCATAAAAAATTTCAGGTCTGTCAGTTAGATGGAAAGGAAATTAGAGCAGCTTCTATCAGCAATACGACTACATTGTTTAGTTAATCTATCGTCAGAAAACTATCACAATATTCAAGATTTTATTTGCTAGATATGTAGTGGAATGCCTAGAAGGTGCGGCTATGAAAAGTTTTTTGTAAAAATCATTTATTACTAAATTTTTTCTTCTGCAAAATTGGTCAACTTTTTAGTCTTCTGTGTCTTCGACAAAATGTCAATATTTTTTTATAAAAGACATCTGTAAAGTGACACAAAATTTCCATAGCCACATTCCTCATTAAATTTCAGCCGGGAAAAGTGAAGAACGAGCCTTCCCTGTATTGCCATTATCCAACGATGGATTGACTAAAATGGAATTTATACAAAAAGTTGAACAGAGAAGAATGCATTCAAGGTAGTGATACAAAACTATAGATAAATTGACTATCGATAGTGTTGCAGAACTATCGATAGTAGACTATTAATAGTACTATCGATACTTTTTTTTATAGTTTTTCGATAATGGACTTTCGATAGTACCATCGAAAATTTTTCGAAAGTCGATTATCGATAGTACTATTGATAGTGTATCAATAGCCGACTATCGATAGTTTTTTTACTATCGATAGTCAGATTTGTGGTGACTATCGATGCTATCGATAGTACTATCGATAGTTTTGCATTACTAGAGCGAACACAGTTGCCGAACCGCTGCTTGCCTCCCTTCCTCCTCTCTTCACCCAAACTCCCGTCTTCGTCATCACTGAAAGCTGAACCAAAGTTGGGATGGTAAGTGCTTGGGCTAGTTGGTGTCCCATTTGAAAAAAAAATGAAGCGAGAAAAACTGAAGAAGGATCAACGCAAACTGCTAGTGTCGCAAAACTATCGATAGTGAACCGTCGACAGTACTATCAATAGGTTTACAATAGTCAACTATCGATAGTTTATCTATAGTTAATTAACGATAATTTTCTGATAATCGGCTATCGATAGTACTATCCATAGCTTTTCGATAGCCGACTATCGAAAAGCTATGGATAATACTATCGATAGTTTTTCAATAGCCGACTATAGATAGTACTACTATCGATAATTTTTCGGTAGTCGACTTTCGATAGTACTATCGATAGTTTTTTACTATAGATAGTCAGATTCCTGGCGAATATTGATACTATCGATAGTACTATCGATAGTTTTGCACCACTAGTGCAAAGTGCTCCAAACATTACCTTTTCTTTAGCTTCGGTGGGCAGAAAATAATTGATAAAAAATTAACTATGCAGTGTAAACTAATTAAACTTTTTGGGAATACTCTCTAGATGTTGGTGGATGTAAATATGTCATTTTTCAAACTCAACTTTTTTTGCAAAACTTTTTTTCTTCTTCTGGGTAGTGTCTCCCCTTAACATCCATCCGTCCATTCATTCGGCCACGATGTGACGTCACAAGGGTGTTGCGGTACAACAAATCATCTGCAATCAGCTGCAGCCCCACCGCAACGGGATGTCATGAGGGTGCTGCGTCAGTGTTCCTTGACTAAAAGCTAACCCGCTTGGCGCCCGCCAAGAAACAGCTGGTCGTATCTTTAAAAATGGTTTTAGTGGTGTGTGCGGCTTCGAATTGGCGTAATATTTCAACTGCGATCATGGTTTGTGCCACTAAAGCGATATCAGTCATTTCTTTTGGTTTCGTTTTCGACCGAAGTTGCCCCTGACAGGACTGAACTTCTTTTGCGTTAAAAGGGCACAAGACGACTGAATGACATTTTGCATAGTCTGCTGGCACAGCCCTGGCCCGGAAAGTCGACAAATTGTCTGGCCGGCCCGAAGGCTAACGCAAAGTGGCCATCTACACTCTCCACATCACTACTTAGAGAGCGGAGATGCTTGACGTAGAGATGTCACGCATCTCTACTGGTGAGGGCCACGTGACCTTCCCTTTCTTGGCATTGTTTCTGTTCGTCGATCGTCAAGCTGATCGCTCCGCAAGCGGGTAGGCTCTGCCGCCGCCAAGCGGCGTTTACGGGTGGGCTAAGTGGGTTAACATTTTTGTAATGAGCCGGCGTGAATGCACCGGGGGGGGGGGTGGGTTAAATGCGCCCCCGTTATAGCCAAGAAAATGCGAAAAAGAAAAAAGTCACGCGACCTTTAGCAACAGAAATGTGTGTGACGTGGAGAAACGACATCACTGGAGCATCATGTGACCCCCCCCCCCCCCCCCCCCCGGTTGATGCTGCGGCGTCTACATCACTCCTCCATGCCCTCCCTTTTGCAGATAGAGTCACTTTGTAGCATAAAGAAATCAGGGGTAAAGAACAGAGTCGTTGGCATGGAAACATATAGGTGGAGATACGTGAAATAGAAGGTCATTGATGCAAATTAGAAAAAGTAAGGAGCCGAGAGAAATTAGCGCGTTTTCGGGGTTCCTGAGCTAAACGAGGAGAGAGTGGGGCAAGTTAAAGCCTCCCAGAAATCAGAAATCCTCGGTGTGCCTGTGTCGCGTAACTGTACGTTTTGATAACGTCTTTAACCCTTTCATGGTCGCATTTTTTGTCCAAAGACGTGCCCCCGTGGTCGGGTTTTTTTTACTGGATGTGATAGCAAAGAGTATACACTAGTTTATTGTCGCATAAAAAAATGTAAGACTTAAAATAAATAGTACACACGCTTCAAAACATCTGCGGCACACTCGCTGGAAGCTGAACAAAACAAAAACAACTAAAACTTCAACGCACCCGCTTCTGAGACGGTCTAGCAGACGGTGCGGCTGTATGTCAGACTCCGGACTCTGAACTGAGCTGGTTTCCGGTTGTTCGTCGGATGTCGAGCTGTCATCCGACTCAGAGCCGGACAAGGATTCAAAGTCTGAACCTGAAGAGCCATCGCTCCAATCTCCACTACGCTACCCCCGAGCAGCCAGCACAGGCGGCCGTCTCAAAAGTATCACTTGCACAGAGCGTCCAGTTTCGCAATTTCAAAAAGCCGCGCCCAAACAAACACTACCGGAGTTATAGGGTCGTAGTTGCCTATGAACCCACCAGATGGCAGCACGTCCCCGCGAACGCGCCCGTTCAAGCAGAGGCGCGAATTTTTGAATGAGCAGTCGCGTACGTACCGGTACGTCAGCAACCATGCGGGACGCTGCCGCGCTGACGTATAGATATGTCAGTGACCATGAAAGGGTTAAATACAAAACTACCTTTCACGAAGCTGTTTCATTGAAACATCTTGCTGTATTTCTGCACCCATTAGATGGGGGCTGGTGAGGGGCTGCAGAGAGGGACATAAATTGGATAGGTCCTGGAAGCATAAAAGGACAAGCTTAACATGGAAGGCTTCTCTCATTTACAGTTGTCAAGCCCGGCTGTCTCATTTGAAACAAGAGTGCCGAATGAAGGTATGTCCTTGAGGAATGTGATGCAGAGAAGGGGACGGACGCCTTTTTTTTCTGTCTTACGGTAGCCTCGCTGCAACTCTATCGGACGAGAGTTTTTCGGTGTCAAGTCTCATTGAGAGCAACTTGCCTGTTCTCGGTGCTTTCAGCTTGGACCTGTGGGCCTAGAAATCCAAGTTGGCAAGAGCAGGAGACCTTCAAGACCAAAGTCCCAATGATGGCCGAGCTGTTCTTTCCTGCGCCAAAACGTGGACGAGCAGACCCCGAGCCATATGCTCGCTGTGACGAACGGGTGTTGGCCCGTGCGATGGCATTTCGTTTCCCGCGCGTGGAACTTAAAAATGCGGCATATACTCCCACACTGCCCGTTTTTGGCGCGGTGTCGCTACAAACGCCTTAGCATTGTATACTTTATGCCTCTTTTAAAATGTTGACCTTTTGTAGTCACTCGTTTTGTCTTGTTTGCTGAGTAACCACTGGAACATTGAGGTTAGCCTGGACGCCGTATCACTTTGTTTCTCCTTAGGAGGCACGACGGCAAAGGCCACAAGCAGGAGCTTTTTGCTCAGGTACGCGGCTTGACTGCGCAAATTCTTGCGCAGCAGGAGCAACTGCCAAAACTAGGAGCTCTGGCTTCTAACCTCCGCTGCGGTACATTTTTAGATGAAATGGAGCATAGGAGAGGCTGATTCTGCTCGTAGGGAAACTTCCTGAAGGTGATCTCACTGTCACGTGGGCCATTAGTTTAGCAACATCTGCGGAGGACAGCTCTACGACGGCATCTGCATTTTTGCAGAAAAATGGAACATGCTGTGCCGAGTACTCGGCTTTGTTGGCTTACAAAACAAAGGTTGTTGAGAGGCCCTAAAATGCTCAGGAGTTACATTTTCTTACTTGTCACAATGTGTACAACCTGCGACACTTTGAGTGGAGACAGGACATAAGCACTTTTTCGCATTTTAGTTGCAAGGAGTATTGGCGGGCACCAAGTTTTACCCCTTAGGTTAGTGCCCCAAATGACCACTTTCGGCTGCACTATACTCGTTTTTACTTCAAGAACCGTTGTAAAAAAAAAGTCCTGCTCCTTGCAGAGAATTATTAATTTTCCGCTTTATGTTGAGAATTAAATATATGTAGGTGCATTTTAAATCAGCTATATGTTAGGTTATCAAGTGCCAAAAGAATCACTGCTTCCTTTGACAACCAAATCTCGTAAGGTACTTCATATGGCCAATGCGCAAAACTTGCTTTTTTTCTTGAGGTGACAACGAGCATAGTAGTTGTCTTCATTGAAAGAGAAAAACAAAGAAACTTGCCTGTGGCTTGTTTGCACTAGCAGTATACATCCGTTCACAAATGACCACCCGAACCGTTCACAATTTACCTTGGAAACAAAAATAAACCAATAGGAAAGCAAAATTGCAGAATAGGAGTAATTAATTTTATACCTGTTGCTTGCCAGCTTGCTTGAATGCCATGTCGAGAGCAGACATGTGTCGCTCGTAGCAGCAGCATGCTAAACCAGGGCTGCTCGATCTGAAACGGCGAGAGGTGCCTAATACCCCTGGTCGATGATGGCTGCGGTCCATTTCCTTCTCTCTTCGCTGTTGCTCGGCAGTGCGCATCCCTAGAATCGCCCGGAGCGTATTTGACTGCTAGTGCCGACGCAGCCAGTAGCGTAAACTGACCAGTCTCGCCTTCGCCTATGTATGGCGGCGCGACAGGGTGGGCCTTACCTTGTTTTTGATCGAGCAGTTGTGGCTAAACACATCCTTGATTTCACCTAGAACATCGGGGCCTTCACCTAGGGTGATTTTCAGGCGTGCTTTACTAAAATGTGGTTGGTGATCTTTGGAATGCCTCTGGTTTAGAAGAAAGTTTTGAGGGCAAAAAAAGGCTCTTTATATACTATAGTAATCCACCCAAAAGCACCTTATTGTCCACCTCACGCAGATTGGTACAGATGTCGGCATTTGTCGTTCATCTCGATAAAATAGCGCACCGTAACGGAGGACATCTACACTTGTGGCTTTGAGTGATTGCTTCTCATTGGATGCCAAAAATAAAACATTAGCTTTTGGTTTGACAAAATGGACCATTGAAGATAGAGTTGAGAGAAGTGCCCAAGTTATGCAGCAAGAAAGCAGGACTAGCATAGTTGCAACTTGGGTGAAATCGAATGTGCTTGTTCTTGAACTGTACCGTTACAGTTAGATCGCAGACTTTTTGGTTTCAACCGATAAACGTCCGCCAGTTTCAAAAGTCAAACAAGATTGGTTTAAACCTGAAAACTTATTTTTTTTTAAATTTTTGCTCTAAGCAAGGACTATTTTTTGTCAAAACCGTCCTTGTTCGGACGGTCATTAGGGGCGTAATCTAACCCAAAATCGAGCACCCTTCCCGTCCCGAATGAGGAATCACCAGTATTGGGTAAAATACATTTAAAATGTACTTAAAGTACAAAGTAAAGGAGAAGTTGCGTACAGGGTGTCCCCCAAAAATTTAGAGGGTTTTTATTATTGCAAAAAAAACTGCATCACTGAGCGCTCATTCTCCACCGAAATGTAGCCCTGGCTGTCCCAACCAGACGCCAACGTTTCAGAACTAACTGCTATTGTGTTCAAAAGTTGGCACCAATTTTCTGAAATTTTTAATGGGAAAATGGCGGCCGATGGACCTCTTATGATACATACACCTGAATGGCGCCAGTTACCAAAAACGTGCGAAAACGGGCCCCCTATTGAACTTTTCAGAAAATCACCTATAGCTTTTGACTGAGTTAACGGTTAGTATGTACTGAAACTTTGGCATCCGGTCCGAACTGCTAGCACTACATTTGGGCGGAGAAAGCATTCGGCAATGCAGTTTATTTTGTGCAGTGAAAAATACTGTAAACTTTTTGGGGGGGGGACATGCTGTACTTGTAGTAAGTACACCAGGCACAATGTACTTGAATTATTATAAATACACTGTACTTGCAAGGTAAAGTACAAGGTCTTTTTAATGCAATGCTTCATGATGCTGCTTTTCTTTTTTTTTTACTTTTGTGCACTGCTTTGGCGGTAATCGGGGTTGCATTGGTTATTAATGCGAAAGCATTAACTGTCCCACGGAGCAAGCCGATGTTACCAGCCTTGAAGCCACGCCAAACGGCACCTTAAATCCTTTCTCCAAGTAAAGCCGGCTCCCAGCTATGAAACCATGCGAAAAGCCTAGCCAAGTGGCACCTAGTTTTCCCGATCCCAAAGGAGCGGAGTAAAGCTGATGGATTTCGGCTTCAGTCCCATTGGCTGGCGCGTGTCATAGTTTCAAGGAACGAGGCTCTCATTGGCCACTGCGCGTCAGTTTCAACGACCGCCACCCCATGGCACTGCGTGTCCGCAAGGCAGCGGCTCCACCACTCCACGTCCTAGGTCAGCGCGCAGAGGACAGTGCGCGCGCTCGACCATCGACAGCGAGTACGCCGCAGACGATAGAAGGGAGTGGAAGAGCGGTGTGCGTGCTTTCGCATTCACAACTCGTAAGAAGTATGTAGGTGTACCTCCACCTTTTTTTTTTTGAAAATGGCGGGAAATATTGGGGCAAAGTCAAGTGGCCATGGTGTAGTTGATTTACTCTCATTGACATGGTAATTAATGCAGTCAATTTATAATTTGTAAAAAGTGTTCCGTGTTCTCTGTTATTTCTTTTTTCATTTCAAATTTGTGGGTACTTTTTGTTTGGGGGGGGAGGTATTTTTTCCTACAGATTCAGGGTTTTTCGTGTAAATTGGTTATAACTTAACCAATTCGCACGAAAGACGCCGAATCTGTAAAAATAAAACACCCCCCCCCCCTAAAAAAAAAAAAAAGCCACCAAATTCGAAAAAAACAAACAAATATAAAACCTTCGAAAACACTCAACTTTAGTTATAATGCACTTATTTGTATCAGTCTTATAGCCTATAGACCGACACACTGTTTTCAAACAAGCCTGCAATTGTCCACACCGAGTGTGGGCTCTGCGAGAGTTCAGAAACCACTGCAGGTTCGCGTGAGGTGAAGTTCTGCGCATGCGCTGTGGCGACAACAGTGCCACCGCAGAGGTGCGACGTCGGAGCTGCGGGTTGGTGTATAACTTCACTCGGAGAAATGACCGTATGTCGTCTCAAAAGACAATAGCACTTTATCGCACGACTACGATACACTTTTTTTTTTGTTGGAGGTGTGTGAACTTTTATTCTCGGCCTCAGAAGTGGTGTACACTAGCACTGGGAAAGCCAAGGACACGAGCGCATTGTCCTTGAAAGAGGCTAATTTCACCAAGCGCAAGAAGGCGCTGCTCAGATCAATGTGCTGCCTTTCTCGGCACTTTACACAAGACGCAGAGTATAGTTATTATTACCTTCGGAGAACGACAAAAGAGACAACTTCTGCGGAAGCTCCCTCCTGCGGGCACCCAACAGCTTGGAGATTGTCTACCGAGTTTGTGACGAGACATAAATCTGCACCCCAACATAAATGAGGTTGGGCCGTGGGTGCCAAAAGCAATGGAGTATTCTCGGCTTGCCCAAAAGGCACTTTTTAGTGCCCTTTGTCTGCCATTGTTTCTGTAGCCCACTATTATGGCAAAATGGTTTCGCAGAATTTGTGGAATATACTTTGAAGTTGGGAGTTGCATTTTGCTCAGAAAGTAACAGAAAAAAATACTTCAAATACTCCCAACACTGGGAATTGCTGACCTTGAAGTAGAGTAACACAAGGGATGGCATGGTCACAGTGTCTGTGTTCTATTCAGGTTGGAGCTGGACGACAGTGTTCAAAAATACTCTCAGTTGAATTTTGACAAAGAAAGTGCAATATGCCATCCAAGTGGCAGAAGTGCATCAAACACTTCAGTTTAGCACGTGGAGCAGGAGAGTAGCAGGGTAAGAGGTATGAAAAACTCAAGCTGATTACGTTCTTTGACCTTTTTTCTAATTCGTTGGCAAGTACTGTTGCATTATGGCAAGTGTGAAGTTTATAAGCATGGACGTAGGAAAAAAAAAAATGTGACATACCGCTCCGCCTTTTGCCAAACTCGAAAGTCCCAAGTGAAGCCAGAAGTAGAGGTCTCGGTCGGTGGGAACGCCCTTAAAGGGACACTGACAGGGTATTTATGCTCGCCGAGGTTTTTAGTTGTACGTGACATTTGAGAGCTCAACTACCCAGAACAGAATTTGCGGCTCGAAATTCGGTTTCTTTCCGCCCGAAAACCGCCGATCAAGAACTGGCCGGTTCGAGTCTCGCTCACTCTCTTTTCCGCGGTCACGGGCCGTTTTCTAAGGTATCGATGCGACCACCAAATTTAATCAAAGTCGTGGGTCACTGAAGGCACACACTCAATATTAAAAATAGAAAAAAATATGAAACCAATTTTTTGTGGCTTCTAAAAAGCTGCAAATACGTTGATTGAAAAAAAAGTTTCACAG